GCATCTGGAGCGTGCGCGGGCGCCCCACGACCACTTTGCAGTAGTTCTTGAAATGGACGGCGGTGGTGCTGTCATATTGTTCGCTGCGCGCAAGCCAACCATCCCTGTCAAACATATACAGACTACACTTTGCCTCCACATCTGGAGCATGTGCGGGCGTCCCGACCACTCTGCACTGGCTTTTGACAGGGACGGCGGGAGGGCCAACACAATGCTCGCTGCGCGCAGGCCAAGACAGCTACACTTTGCCTCCACATCTGGAGCCAGCGCGGGCAACCCGCGACCACTTTGCATGGTTTTTGACAGGGACGGCGGCGGTGCCGGCAGATTGCTCGCTGCGCGGAAGCCAAGCATCCCTGTCAAACAAAATACAGAGTGCACTTCGCCTACACATCAGGAGCATATGCGGGCGCCCCGCGACCACATTACATTCGTTTTTGGCAGAGACGGCGGCGGTGCTGGCATATTGCTTAAACGTAGAGCACGCGCCGCACCTGGCGCGCCTGGCTCGCTTGGGCCTCCAGGGTGCCTGGTGCACCTGGAGCCCGTGGCGCACATGGCATGCGTGGCTGAGACTCCATCGGGTGTTACGTATGTGTTGGGAGTGCGGGTGAGAGTGAGCGAGACGGCTTACGGGCGAAGGGGGGGCCTCGACCCCTCCCCCTCCCCTCCCCTGGGCCTGGAAGGGACGCCCCGCGAGGGGCTAGAGCGTCCAAGATGGCCCAAGATAGCTCCCAAAGCCCCAGAGGGCCTCTGAGAGCGCAAGATGGCATCCAAGATTGCTCCAGACAGCTCAGGATGGGTCAAGCGACACACATCTAAGAAGCCTCAAGACGACCCCAAGCCGGCTTCAAGTGTTCTTCCACGGACCCCTCCAAGAGGCCAAAATGGCTCCAACACCTATGCAACATCCATGTGCGCTGCCTTCTCGCGTTTCGCTTACGATGGGCTCGTGAGGCCTCAAGATAGCCCTAAATCGGCCCCAGAGAACCCCAAGAGGGGCTCAAGAAAGCCCCAAGACAGTCCCAAAAGCGCCCAAGAGCGCTCCCAGAGGGCCTCAAGACGCCATGTTTGAGCCTCTCAGGGGGGACCTGAATTTCCAACCTCCCCCTCTTCTGGAGTCATCGGGGCCAAGATGGCCCCAAAGCCTCCCAGACCCCCCACACCGAGCCCCAAGAGGGCCCCAAGAGAAGGGCCCAAGACAGCCCCAAGAGGGCCTTAAGAGAGCCCCAAGATGGCTCCAAGAGACCTTCGAGAAAACGCTTCCACGCTTCCAAGGCGGTTGTTACACTGCACTCTTCTACACTTTCCTGATCAAGGCAACTCGCCTGGCGATCTGCTTCTGGGTTGGCTGGTGAAGACACGAAGCGTCAAGAAATTAGCTGGTGTTGCGCACACCGACCCACAAGAGACAACTAAAGCGCTGGCCCCTGGGCTTTGTTGCCCGTGCAGTTTCCTTCATGAGGGCAGAAGGGCCGGAATATCCTTCAGTGGGGTTTTGACCTGCCCCCGTCCGCCCACGCACGAAGAGAGTTCGCCAACTCAATGCTGTTGGCCCGATAGACACGCACGCGACCAGAGGCGGCTGGATCGAAGGGAACATCTGATCATGCAGATGGCTTCTTTCACACCTACACCAAAGGTTATGTCGGGCGTATCCCCCTACACGGGGATTTTCGACGAAAAATAAAACATACCCGAAAAATACCCCAAGAAGGCAAAACAATACCCAAAAAATAGTCCCCAGACTATGTTTGGACTTTTCTGGGCTATGTTTTGGGTGTTTTTCATTTTTCGTCGAAAATCCCCCTGTAGGAGGACAGGCCCGACTTAAACCAAGGGAGCAACCAAAGCAACGGCCCCTGGACTTCCCTGCCCGTGCTCTTTTCTCGATGAAGGGCGGTTGGGGCGCAAGTTCCGTACTCCCTATAGGCTAGGGAATGCTCCCCTTTGCGTGTGAACAAAAACACGGACCCAGCTTGTTCACACTGCGTGCGTGCAAGAATCTCGGGGATCCCGTGCGCGTATTTTCTGGATCTCTCTTTGGCGTGGAAGCTCCGCGGATCTCATCTTTCCCCTGGAGCGCAATCGGACCCAGGACAGAAGAACAGTCCTCTAGAACATGAAGCCCTCCACCGGCCAAAACACAGTGAACATCCCAAGGTAGCCTCCCCACGAGGCACAAGAAAATCCAACAAACAGAAAAAACATTAGGATACCCTCCTCGAGCCGACCTCGATCTTATACCTCGGTCCGACCGGAAAGATGCAATCATAACTAATTCCGTTGACACACAAGAAACAGGATCCACGGAACCGTGGATCTGCAAACCAATGCTATGATTTTGAAGGGGGAGGGGGTTCCGACGGTCGTCTGGTCGGTCGAACATTGTCGTCGTCGGGCAATCGGTCGGGTGGCTAGCCGGCCAGTCGGTCGGTCGGTCGGCGCGTCGATCGGTCGGTCAGTCGGTCGACCGTCGTCGGACTGTCGGTCGTCGTCAGTCGATTGGTCGTCCTCCTAGTCTGGGGCTCAAGTGGACAATCTTTCGGCCTGCGTAACACAACATCGCTCACATCAAATAGCTTACACACCAGATCTTACACCGCATGACTTGCACCGCATTCTAGCTCCGCTGCAATATTGCACTGTTGGGGTCCACGTTGGTTTCAATGCCCTGTTTGTATTTGGTGTTGTTTGGTTTCTGGTGGCCTTTATCAGGCCCCAAGGGCCGTCAGAAAACCATGGAAGAGAGGCCGGCTCGGACTGAGAAGTCTCCATGGGCCATGGGGCATCATCTGGTAGGCAACTTTCTGATCCGGCCCCCTCGGGAAGCTCGGACTCCCAAACCGCCAGCATTGGCGCATGCTTGGCGCACGCTCTGCTTCGAGCCGTTTTTCCGCTGGTGGAGGCGCTCCCGTCGTACTTCCGCCGAGGAAGAGAAGGTAGGATCTCGATCCCTCGAAGGCGAGGACGTTCCTGGAATACCCGTGCTGGTGCCCTGCCATGCGTTGCTCAAGCTCGGCGCCGCGCTCTCTGGCGGCGCGTGCTTCGGCCAGAGGCCGGAGGAAGCCGGTGTGCGCCCACGTCGTGGGAGAGGTGCTGCGCCGCTTCGCGCATACCAGCTCCGAGCGACTTGCTTTGCAACTTGCTCGGTAAACTGTTCCCAACCGGACAGGCTGGGGTTGTCTGGCCTATAGGTGCAGGAAAGGCTCGTGACCCGCCTCGCACACCCTGCCTACCGCGGGCGCCCGTCATGCCCAAAGCATGCTGGCGATCCCTGGGTATCGCGCCTCGTGCTCATGCTGGTGCTCCCTGGGTGAGAGAAGTATGATCGTACCAGAGAGCCTATCCGCATATGCCCGCTCCCTGGGGGACAGCGCCCGCACTATGAGTCGGGATGCCCCCCAGAGACGCGTGCGCCTTAAGGGCAGCGCCCAGTGAGGTGAGAGGCAGAGCTATGCAGGTGTTGCCACCGGTCAGGCTGCACCATCGTACACACTGGGTGTGCTCGTGTGGTTTGCGTGTGCCCCGCCGTCATCGAGGTGGAAGCATTGCCGAGGCCGGGCCCTCACGATGGCACTCCTCCCGCCCGGCGACGCCGTGCCCCTCCCGGCTGCCCTAAGAAGCTCTGCCCAGGGCCCCATGGAAGATCGAGGAGGGACGCTTCTGGTCGTTCGCGGCCCTCGCCAAGCCTCCAAAAAGGCCTCTCGCAGAGGCCTCCGCGGGGGCCCCCAGGGGAGGGGGAGGACTGGCCCAGGGCGAGAGCGCACGCTGTACCAGGCCCTCAGGACGGCATTCCCGCCTCCCCCCGCCCACCGTGTTCCCCCCTCGACCCTCCTCTTCTCCTCCTCTTGTCCGGCTGGGCAGGATGGGGAGGCAGTGAAGGAGGGGCTCGCGCATCAGCTCACGTTGGCTGGCTCTCTCGACGCCGCACGGCGCCGATGCATCGAGGAAAGCGCCTCGCTGGGGACGAAACCGGCTGCGTGCAGCAGGTTTCGTACCCTCCCCGTTCCCTTGCTGCGGCAGCTTCGTGAGTCGTGGATCGCTCAGCCTGGAACGATCAGCAGCTCTTCGACCGCCAGATCGTTCCAGACCATCCGGCGATTGTGGGCCGGTGGCGGCGTTCAACCTTGTGAACGCCCGCGGCAGGGTGGTCGCCGACGTACCCCTTTCTCCGTCCAGCGGGGGCCAAGGAGGAGGAGATGCACACCGCCGCCACCCAGAGAGGGGTGGAGGCACAAATGGGGCTCGAGGGCGGTGGTGCACGCGGGCACTCTCGCGGGGGGCAGCCTGCAGGAGGGGGGAGGGGCGGAGCCCCTCGCCTGCGCACGCCTGCGCACGCCTGCGCACGCCTGCGCGGCTCCGCTCCCCGCTGCGCCCCCCCCCCCCCGCGCTCCTCCTCCTCCTCCTCCTCCTCCTCCTCTCCTCCTCCTCCTCCTCCTCCTCCTCCTCCTCCTCTTCCTCCTCCCTCCGCCTCCTCCTCCCTCCCCTCCTCTCCTCCTCCTCCTCCTCCGCCTCCGCCTCCGCCTCCGCCTCCGCCTCCTCCTCCTCCTCCTCCTCCTCCTCCTCCTCCTCCTCCTCCTCTGGCGGTGCCGCTTTCGGGGTCCCTTGGTCTCCGCCAGCATGTAGGACGTGAAGGCCGCCCGTGGGAAGTCGACGTCCGAGGCGGAGCGCATCGGGTTCAGCATGCCCACGCCCACGTGCAGCAGGCTGGTGTACACGACGGGGTAGAAGATGATGGGCGTGATTTCCGCCGCCACCACCACACGTTGGAGGGGAAGGGGTCCTCCTCCTCCTCTTCTCTTCTTCCTCCTCCTCCTCCTCCTCCTCCTCCTCATCCTCCACCTCCTTTCCCCTCCATCTTTGGGTGGTGGTGGTGGAAAACAGGCCCATCAGAAGAGCAAGAAAACTAATTCCGAACAGATTCCAGACCACACGCCGTGGCGCCACTCGAAGGCGAAGCGGACCGCGGAGGCCAGCGCCTGGACCAAGTTGTGCACCCACACGATGAAGCTCAAGATGTGCACGTAGCGGAACGGGACCTGCGAGTCCGTGTAGGTGAAGAGCTTCCCGATGGAGTCGCGCGCGCTGCAGCAGAAGCCCAACAGCTGGGGGAGCATCGTCACGGCGTGGGGCATGCGGCCGCCGCCGTTGGCCGCCTCCCCGTACGCGAGGTGGGCCATGTAGCTGCACATCCACGCCCAGACGCACTGCGGGCGCGAGGAGAGCGGCCCCAGGATGGCCATCTCCTCGCGCAGCAGCAGGCCCTCATCGGGGGACGCTGACCGGTCACCTCACCGACCCCGGCCGGGCCCACCGTGGGCCCGGATCGGCGTGTACACATGCGCCCTCCTGGATCGGCCAGAGAGGCCAGAGAGGCCAGGGTGAGGCCCTGCCAGGATCGCTGAGGTGGTTCGTTGACTCGGAGCAGGGTGAGCTGAGACAGCCGCAGCTCAAAATCGGTCCCCGGGCCCCCTCTTGGGGTCAATTTTCCGAGCTGCGTCCAGCCGTGGCGACGAGCCCCGCCCCCCGAAGGCCAACTGCCGTTGTCTCAACTCGGCCTCCTCTGGTTGACGCCCCCCGACCTTATCCACCAGATCCTGGAACTCGTTGTCTCCGCGGATCTGCTTGTACATCAGCTCGTGGGAGAGGGCGCCCCAGCGCAGCACGCGGTCGCGCACATCGCGGTCCTCCGCGGAGTCCTGCGGGAACAGCGCCCCCACGATGAGGAGGATGTCGTCCAGGGCACCCCACAGCCCTGAGGGGGGGGGGGGGGGCGCCAGGGGGGAGCTGGATCGGGAGGGGGGGGAGACCTATCGAGCTGGCATCGGTGCTATATATCGCCGACAGATCGGCGATGGGCCCCCCGGTAGTGAAGCCGCACGTTCCCGGGCGAAGTGGGCTATCGGGCCCCTACCGTCGATGAATGGGCGATTGGGGGTCGATGCATTCCCCCCGAGCCTAGAACGTTGCCCCCCCGCACTCCTCCGATACCCTCAAACCGGATGGCCCACCAGCGCGCGTAGCAGGTCGAGAGGAAGAAGCCCAGCAAAAACGTGCAGAGGTTGTGGAAGTCCGTGATTAAGGCCTTAGCGTTGTCGACGTCCTCGTGCTGGACGTCCACGCGGAGAGCGTACAGAAGGGACAACAAAAATCCCGAGACTAGCCAAGTGAAGGCCGCGGCGCGGCGTATCACACTCTTGCGGAAAACCGACCCGCGCGCAAAGACGGCTATGAATACCCCCAGGCAGCCCATGATGCCCTCCGAGTCGTAGTTCAGCACGTTCTTATCCACGTACTTCACAAAACGGTTCGACCGTATGTTCAGCTCGTTGTTTGCTACATCGGTGAGCGTGTAGCCGTGCATCGACAGCTCCGCCTCGAAGTCGGACCCTGGCTGGGTGACGGGGTCGTCGGCGGTGACCGTTCGCAGTCTGCGGACCGGCTCCTCGTCCGCGGGGGAGAACATCTCAGACAGCAGGCTCGCCGAGGGGCCCCGTCTCATGCATGGCGACGACCGCGAGGTCCGCATGGCGACCTCTCTCGTCCGGTCTTGCAGACCAATTACATCAAAGGAAGGGAAACTCGAGCCAGAGGGAGGAGGAGGAGGAGGAGGAGGAGGAGGAGGAGGAGGAGGAGGAGGAGGAGGAGGAGGAGGAGGAGGAGCAGGAGGAGGAGGAGGAGGAGGAGGAGCCAGAGGGGGGCCACGCAGCCGCCTGGCCAGAGGCCTGGTTGTGACGGTTGGGGACTCTTCTGGTGGAAGGGGGCCCACTTAGTTATCATTCAAAGCGCTGGAGACGTTTCTTTGTTGTTCCCCCCCGTCTGCAACGAATTCTGGTTGCGGCCGACCAACACGGAAACAAAATGGCAGTCCAAAACTAAGAGAAAGAGGGGGGGAGAGTGAGCGTGCAGGCGACCGGGGGGGGGGGGCAGGAATATGCAGACAGACCTCTGCCCCCCAGGGCCTCCCCTGGGCGCGCTCTGGCCAGGACTCTGGGGCTGAGTCCAGCCCGTCGCGAAGACGAGCCTCCCTCCCCCAGAACTCTGGACCACCTCGTGGGGCTGGTCTTTCTCGTCCCGGATCGTCTTGTGACGGTCCCGGGGCCCTGCGAGGGCTCCCAGGCGCCGAGAACAACGAAAACCCGCGGTCTTGTTTTTTCAAATGCGTTGGAGATCTGCAGCGACATCGCTTCTACAAGGCGAGAATTTGGCTACGGACGCAGAACATTGTAATGTGCATTGTTTTTGGCGCGTGACGCGGTGACGCGCTCTTGCCTTCCAGGGCGGGGCCCTGCCCGGGATGCCCGCGGAGGCGAACACGCGAGGGAGGCCGCGCGCGGTGCGCACGCCCAGATCCACGACCCTTTGCAGGCCCAAACGCCGCGGCCGCTGCCCGGCTCCGCGCGGGTGCCTTCCGCGCGGAGCGTGCCCCGTGGGGTCGCGCACACGTCGGGTACTGCCAAAGCTGAGCAGGGGCCGACCGTCCCGGCATTTCTATACACCGGACTCACTTCTATAGCGCTCACTTCTATAGTGCTCACTTTGAAATTGTGGTCCGGAAGGGGCCGCACATGCAGGCACATGCCGCACAGTCGCATGCACATGCCCATGCAAATATACAAAAGCCTCAACAGCATTTCCGCACATGCGCGCACATGCCACACCGTCCGACGCACAGTCGAATGCACGGTCAAGCAAAACTCTGAAAGCATAGACGCACATGCCCGCACATTCCGCAGAGATGTCGCAGGCGATAGTGGCCTGACCACCTGAGCTCGGGGCATTTCGCAACCCAGAGTTCCGAGGATGTCTCAGGCAAGCGTGGCCGGATCACCATGGGGCAGGGCATCTTGGAAACCAGAGTGGCGAGGATGTCGCTGGTCAAGGTGACCAGACGACCATGGGGCAGGACACCTCCGAGGTCTGAGTTGTGAGGATGTCTCAAGCGAAAGTGGCCTGACCACCATGGGGCAAGAGATCTCTGAGGTCAGAGTTGCGAGGATGTCTCTGGGGAGAGTGGTCTGACCACCTCAGCCCAGGGCATCTCGGAGCCCAGAGTTGCGAGGATGTCTCAGGCAGGACTGGCCTGACCACCTGCTCAGGGCATCTCAGAACCCAGAGTTGCGAGGGTCTCAGGCGAAAAAGGCCGAGACACTATGGAGCAGGGCATCATTGAGGTCAGAGTTGCGAGGATGTCTCAGGCAAAAAGTAGCCTGAACAGCTCCACTCAGGGCATCTCGGGCGAGGATGTCTAAAGCGAAAGTGGTCTAACCACCTCAGCTCAGGGCGTCTGGGAACCCAGAGTTCCGAGGATGTCTCAGGCGAAAGGGGCCGAGACACTATCGAGCAGGGCATCATTGAGATCAGGGTTGCGAGGATGTCTCAGGCGACAGTGGCTGACCACCTCAGCTCGGGGCATATCGGAATCGAGACTTGCGAGGATGTCTCAAGCGACCGTGGCCTGACCAGCATGGGGCAGGAGATCTCTGAGGTCAGAGTTGCGAGGATGTCTCAGGCGAAAGTGGTCTAACCACCTCAGCTCAGGGCATCTCGAAACCCAGAGTCCCGAGGATGTCTCAAGCGAAAGTGGCCGGGCCACCATGGGGCAGGGCATCTCCGAGACCAGAGTTGCGAGGATGTCTCAGGCGAAGGTGGCCAGATCACTTCATGTCAAAGCACGTCGGCCTCCAAATTACCGACGACGTCTCACGCGGAACTGGCCGGACGCGAACGCGCCAGCGTCCGGAGACGAACGCCGGCCCCGGCATTCTTGCACGTCCCGCACATGCACTGCACAGGTACGCACAGTATTCGCACAGGCCGAGCTCGCCGGTGGCCGAGCCAGGCCAGCGATTCCGAGATTCCCTGAGCTCGGGCCGTCAAGCCACTTTCGCCTGAGACATCCTCGCAACTCTCACCTCCTCCTCCTCCTCCTCCTCCTCCTCCTCCTCCTCCTCCTCCTCCTCCCTCCTCCTCCTCCTCCTCCTCCTCCTCCTCCTCCTCCTTCTCCTCTGGCCGAGCCGAACAGGCAGGCGGGCCAGTGGCCGGGGGCGCCCGCCTCCTCCGCCCCCCCCTCCTCCCCCCCCCCTCCACCTCCCCCCCCCCATCCCTGCTTCTCCGGCCGAGCTGAGAAGGCGCGCGGGAGAATATTTTATTAAGCGGGCGCGCCACCGCCAGCTCACGAACCACGCGAATAAACGCCCCCGCCAGCAGCGGGCGAGTCTAAACGCACAACAAACTCTTTCAGGAAGCCCTGGCACGCCCCAGGTTAGCTCTGCGAAGGCCAGGAGGCATTGGAGGCACAGGGGTCACAGACAGCTTCTAGGGCATGAGCGTGCATGTGCATTGGGATGTGCACGCATGTGCGCCCGCGCGCTTCACCGCATGTGCGTGCATGTGCGGGCCCGCGCGGCCTCCCGAAGAGAGGTTGCACAGGCATGTGCGTGCATGTGCCGATGACAGATCTGCGATTCTCGAACACCTCCCGCATGTGCAGGCATGTGCGCGCATGTGCGTCGAACTGTGCGTGCATGTGCGTATGATGGATACATCAAAACACAGCGCACATGCCCCCGCACATGCCCGGGCACGACGTGCACAGTAGGAAGTCCATCCAAGAAGGACCGCACAGGCCTGGCACATCACTGGCACATGCCGCGCACATGCGCGCACATGACAGCGCAAAAACGGCCGCACATACACCCACCCAGGGGTATAGATGTGAGTGCGGTGTAGGCCTACCACGACGTGTTCTTAGAACCCCAGACATGTTCTGAGAACGAAGACCAAGTTCTTGGAACAAAAACCCGAAAACAAGACAGTCCCAGCCAGAAGAACATTTCGTGCAGACCACAACAGGTTCTTAGAACATGCTTTGGTGGGCCTATAGGCGAGCCAGGACGCATCACTGCTTGACAAAGGAGCCCCTGGCCCCGGGTGCCCCCAGATCTCCGACGGCACGACTCCTCCATCAGTGCCTGCACTGAGGAGGCCCTATAGCGGAAAGATTTAGCGAAAACGCCGGGTCGACTTCGGCACGCCGCTGGGATCCCGGGCTCTCGGCTCCGGGTTCCCCAGTGCCCGGCTGCCGGTTCTGGGCCGATCCCGGCTTCCTGGTCGAGCTCCTTTTCGATCGGTCTCGCGATCGATCTCACTACCCACCTCTCAATCGATCTCACTCTCGATCTCACAATCGGACACACTATAGATCGCACGAGCGATCCCACGATCGATATCACTGTGGATCTCACTGAATCGACTTCACGATCGGTCTCACGATCGACCTTACTATCGTCATCACTGTCATTTCAACGATCGATCTCGCAATCGATCTCACAACCGATCCCAATATCCATATCACGAATTTTCGAATAATCCACCGGTTGTTTTTTTTTGCTCTGGTGCAATTTTTCCCAATCCTGTGGTGTTGGGTCCTCGTTTTGAAGACATAGCGCCCCGCGTCCCTCCTCTCCTCCTCCCCCTCCCTCCTCCTCCCTCCTCGGATCCCTGCCTCTGCCCTCCGAACAGGTCAACCGTTTTGGTACACCCCTCACACGCTTCGTGGCCCCATAGGGAGCCCCACCGAAGGCCCAAATGCCAGCCTTCGCATGCGGCCACCGCACCTATTTGGACACACGCCTCACAAGTTTCGTGGCCATCGAAGGCCCAAATGCCAGCGTTCGCATGCGGCCACCGCACCCATTTTGGCACACACACACACACCTCACACGTTTCGTGGCCCCACAGGGAGCTCCACCGAAGGCCCAAATGCCAGCGTTCGCATGCGGCCACCGCATCCATTTTGGCAAACCCCTCGCAAGCTTCGTGCT